CGCCCGGCCAATTTTTGACAACATACCAAGGTAATTCACAATAGGGAAAGCATAAGTTTTTCATCAAATGCTAATGGAACAATTGGACAGCCATATGTCAAAAAAAAAAAAAATCCCTCACCCTTACTTCAACCATATACAAAAATTAATTTAAAATGGGTTACAGGCCTAAATGTAAAAGCCAAAACTATAAAACTCTTAGAAGAAAACATGACTGACAATCTTAGTGACCTTGGGTTTGGGAAAGATTTCTTAAATGTGATACCAAAAACCCCAAAAACAATAGAAGAAAAAAATTCAGTAAATTGATTTCATCAAAATCAAAATTTTAATCTTCAAAAGATACTGTCATAAAAATGAAAAGATTAAGTCACATATTTGGAGTAAATATTTGCAAAACACATATCTGACAAAAAACTTATATCTCCAATATATAAACAACTCTTACAACTTAATAAAACAAATTTTAAAATGAGCAAGAGATTTGAACACATACTTCACCAAAGAAAGTATGAGGATGGCAAATGAGCACACTCAAAGATGTTAAACATCATTTGTCATTAGGGAAATGCAAATTAAAACCACAGTGAGATGCTATTATACACCCTCTAGAATGGCTAAAATGAAAAAGACTGACCATATGTGGTGTTGGTGAGGATATGGAGAGCTGGAAGTCTCACATAACACTGGTGAGAATATAAAATGGTACAATCACTTTGGAAAACAGTTGTAAACTCACACCAACCATTCCACTCCTAGTTATTTACCCAAGAGAAATAAAAGCAAATGCTCACACAAAAACCTGGACACAAATGTTTACAGCAGCCTTATTTGTAAAAGCCAAAAACTATAACCAACCCAAATATCCACGCACAAGTGAATGCATAAATGAAATGTAATATATTCATACAATAGAATACTACTCAGAAATTTTAAAAACCCAACTACTAACACATGGATGAACCTCAAAATAATCATGTTGAGTCAAAAAGCCAGTAGAAAGGGGGGGGCATACTATATGATCTCAGTTATATAAAATATTAGAAAATACAAACTACAGTGATGGAAAGCAGATCACTGATTTCCTAGGTACTGGAAAAGTGATGGATTACCAAGGATTACGAGGAAACCTGTGGGGTGATAGCTGTGTTCATTATTTGATTTTGGTGATGATTTCACAGGTGTATGGTAATGCAGTAGTCCTTGCTCATCCACAGTTTTGCTGTCTGAGATTTCACTTACTCATGGTCATATAACCAAAAATATTAAATGGAAAATTCCAGAAATAATTTAAAACTCTTAAGTTTTAAATTGTACACCATTCTGAGTGGCATGATGAAATCTCGCATTGTCCCACTCTGTCCTGCCCAGCACGTGAATCATCCCTTTGTCTAGTGTATCCATGCTGGATACACTACCTGTCCCTTAGTCATTGACATCATCTGCTTCTGACATCCAACCATCAACACTGTCATGGCTCCATGACCCAAGATCACTGGAAGCAGATGATCCTCCTTCAGACATTGTCAAAAGGTTAATACTACCTAACCTTACATCAATGCCTACATCATTCACCTCATTTTAAATCTCATTACGTTGTCATTCTATGATCTCACATCATCACAAGAAGAGTGAGTACAACACAGTAAGGTATTTTGAGAGAGAGAGACCATATTCATATCAACTTTTATTATATTACTGTAATTGTTCTCTTTTATTACTAGTTATTGTCATTAATCTCTTACTGTGCCTAATTTATAAACTCAACTTTATCACAGGCATGTATGTATAGAAAAAAACATAGTGTATATAGGGTTTGCCACTATGCATGGTTTCAGACATTCACTGAGGGTCTTGGAACATATGCCACATGGATTAGAGAGGACTACTGTACTTATGTCAAAACTCATAATGTACACTTTAAATATATGCATTTTATTGTATGTCAATTACACCCCAATAAAGCTGTAAAAACACTTACAGAAAAAAGTCCTCTTCTTCATCTGAATCATCTTCCAAAAGATTTCTCTGTCAAAAAAAAAAAGAAAAAGACCTGAGTTTTCAGATTCTGAGGGCTTAAAAATGTCAGGGAGGAGTAATGAAGTCAGTTTTATACTGGTGAAATTTCTTAACTCTAAGCTTCCATATAGAGGGAAGAGTAATTACATATCCTTCATTGTAAGCTAAAAAATGTGAGACATTTGCAGTCTTTCCAAAGAAAATGCTCATAATCCCAGAATCCTCTAAATGCCTAAAAGGTAGAAAGGTCCCTGAAGCTGGCGTGGGAGTGAGGAACTACAGGCAATCAGCAAGTCCCCTCTCCCTTCTCCTGCCTCCCAGCCTCTCTTCTTGGCGGAACTTAAAAGGGAGCCAGGTGGCAAAGAAGAAATGTAGTTTGCAGTGTCCAACTAGAGTACAGAAGGGTAGTTTGGAGCTGAGAGACAAGGGCTTAATAATTGGCATGGTCCACTCAATCCACAAACAGACCTCTACACAACTTTGAGCTTTCAAACAAAAGCAAATTTATATTTTTGCCTTATAAAATACAACAATCTGGCCAGGTGTGGTGGCTCACACCTGTAATCCTAGCACTTTGGGAGGCCAAGGTGGGAGGACTGTTTGAGCCTAGAAGTTGAAGACCAACAGCGAGACCCCCATCTCTACAAAAAATTTAAAAATTAGCTGAGTGTGGCGGTGCATGCCTATAGTCCCAGCTACTTGGGATGCTGAGGCAGGAGGGTTGCTTGAGCCCTTGGGCCCACAAGCTGGAAGCTGCAGTGAGCTATGATGATGCCACTGCACTCCAGCCCAGGCAACAGAATAAGAGTGTGTCTCAAAAAAAAACAACAATCTTCCTTAAAATGAGGGTGGACTCACCCTCTCCACAAAGGGGGAAGATATTAAGTTCCAAAAGGAGGCTAACAAAGAGCAAAGTCCAGACCTTTCAGACACACAAGAACTCAAACAGTATACAGGCTGAATATCGATTATCCTAAGTGTTTGGGACCAAAAATATTTCAAATTTTGGATTTTTTCAGATTTTGGAATATTTGCATATATATAATGAGACATCTTGGGGATGGGTCCCAAGTCTAAACACAAAATTCATTATGTTTCATATATTCCTTATATTTTATTCACACCTTATACACATAGCCTGAAGGCAATTTTATACAGTATTTTTAATAGCTTTGTGCACGAAACAAAGTTTTGACTGTGACCCATGACATGAGGTCAGGTGTGGAATTTTTCACTTGTGCCATCATGTTGGTACTCAAAATGTTTCAAATTTTGGAGCATTTCAGATTTTGAGATTAGAGATGGTCAATGTGTACTACTTGTTGTAGGCAGAATAACGGATCCCCAAAAATGTCCATGTCCTGATCACCAAAACCTGTGAACGTGTTACCTTGCATGGTAAAAAGGACTTTGCAGATGCGATTAAGGACCCTGAGAGGAGAATATCACCATCAATTATTCACGTGGGCCCAGTGCTGTAAGAACAAGGGAGGCAGGAATGTCAGAAAGAAAGAGAGAGAGAGAGGGAGGGAGACTTGAAGATGTTACACTGATGGTTTTGAAGACAGAGGAAGGAGCATGAGCCAAAAAAGGCAGGCAGCCTCTAGGAGCAAAGAAAGGAAAGGAAACCGTTTTTCCGCTAGAGCCTCCAGAAGGAAGGCTGCTGGGACCTTGATTTTAGTCTCACAAGACTCGTTTTGGACTTCTGGTCACCAGAACTGTAAGGTAATAAATTTATGTTGTATTAAGTTTGTGAAACTAATATACCATCCATGGATCTTTTCTGAGGAAATTACTCAAGGAATTCCAAGAGCTAAAAAGAAAATTAAATCATAACAAAGATCTTAAGGCAGAGATGGATACAATCAATGACCCAAATAAAATGTGTAGTCAAATCTAAATGGTTGATAACAACGTGATTGCAAACTGTAAGTTAAAACTACTGAAAAAGAAAAGACATACGGAGAAGCTTAAAAAGAGTCTAAAACTTCTCTAACAAAGCCCAGAAGCTGGAAGTGGGACAGTGAAGTGAGGAAGTGAAAGCATACCAGCTTGCTAACCTTGACAAGGAATGGAATGGAGGAAGAGGAAACAGTGGTATTATGAAAAAATAAAACAATGGAAGGGGCATAATTTTTGGTGTGTTGACAGAGAACACAGATTTAACAATACTGTTAAAATATAAAGTTAATAACAAAAGAGAGAGGGGAACGAGGGAGAAAAGGAGTAAAATTTCTAAACTACCTAGTGGTTTGGGGGCAAAAAAAGGAGATGAGGAAAAATTATCTAGCAAAAGGTGTAAGGGAAAAGAAGGAAAATATAAGAAATACATAATGAATACCATTATATCTATGTATAATTAATGTATAGCATATAATAAAAAGTAAAAAAGGAAAGAAGAATGTATTCAATAGTCATTTAACAAGTATTTTTGAGCATCTTCTATGTGCTTCTGTGTGTACTGTTCTAAGTACTAACTACCAGCTTCGAACAAAACAGACAAGGTCTGTGCTCTTAGAAAATGCGATTGCGATAAATGCTACGTAGAGAATTAAAACAGTGATGGAACAGAAAGTGATGGGGTGACTGCATGAGATTAGGTTGTCATGGAAAATCGCTCTGAAGAGGTGAAATCTAAGCTGAGATCCAAATAACAAAGAGCCAGCCAAAGATTGGGGTAAAGAGGATTCATTGCCAGCACAGGGCCCGGCTAGCACAGAAAAAGTCCAAATATATTAGTTAATCACAATAAATGTGAATGGTTTAAATGTCCCTATTTAAAATAAAAAATTATATGTGATTAGGGTTCAAAAATTTCCAGCCAATATCTGTTTATAAGAAAGTCACCTAAAACAAATGTCAAATAAAGGATGCAAAAAAAGGGTGGAAAAGATACATCAGCAAATTCTAACAAAAAGAATGTTACAGTTAGCAACATAAAGAAGAAATTTAAGACAAAGCATTTAAAAGACAAATAAGAGGACTTTACAATGATAAAAATGCACAATCCATCAAAAAGATTTAACAGCAATGAATGTTTATATACCTAATACTATAGCTTAAAAAATATAATACAAAAGATGCTCAAATTCCAAGAAGAAATGGATACATTCAAAATCATAGGGAGGATTTAACATACTCTTCACAGACAGAGAAACCAAAGACAAAAAATATATAGAACTTTGAAAATAAATAGTAAATTTTATTTTTAAATATCTAAAATATGGAGAAGCCACAAAGGAAATTTAATAAATTCCAAAAAATAGAAATTACATAAGCCACATTCTCTGGCCATATGCAATGGAAATTAAAACAAATAACAAAAGAAAATTTTTAAATACTTCTAATTAACTCTTACGTGAAAATGTGGGTGGAAGCTGAATAGACTATTTAGAAATGAAAGACACGGGGAACATTACAGATCAAAATCTATGGGGTATGGTCACAGTAGTACTTAAAGGAAAATGTAACCTTAGATGATGCATTTATTTATGAAATCACAAAGACTGAAAATATATAAAATAAGTATTTAACTCTTTAGATAGGTTAAGTTAATCCTAAACAACACACAACCCCAGAAGTCTGAAAGCAGAAGTTTAATTGATTTGATTACATAAAAATGTAAAACTTTTCTATGACTACATTCAGCCCATCTGGTAAATTTGTCCAGATTGAATATGCTTTGGCTGCTGTAGCTGGAGGAGCCCCTTTAGTGAGAATTAAAGCTGCAAATGGTGTGGTATCAGTAACTGAGAAGAAACAGAAATCCATTCTGTTAAGACGAGTGAAGTGTACACAAAGTAGAACCAATTACCAAGCATGTAGGTTTGGTGTACAGTGGCATGGGCCCAGGTTACAGAGGGCTTGTGCACAGAGCTCAAAAACTAGCTCAGCAATATTATCTTGTTTACCAAGAACCCATTCCCACAGCTCAGCTGGTACAGAGTAGCTTCTGGGATGCAAGAATACACCCAGTCAGGTGGAGTTTCTCAATTTGGAGTTTCTTTACTTATTTGTGTGGTTGGAATGAGGGTCAACCATATTTATTTCAGTCAGATCCATCTGAGCGTACTCTGCCTGGAAAGCCACAGCAACAGGAAAGAACTATGTAAATGGGAAAACTTTTCTAGAGAAAAGATATAATGAAGATCTGGAACTTGAAGATGCCATTCATATGGCCATCTTAACTCTAAAGGAGAGCTCAGAAGGGCAAATGACAGAGGGTAACACAGAAGTTGGAATCTGCAATGAAGCTGGATTTGGAAGGCTTACTCCAACTGAAGTTAAGGGTTACTTAGCAATAAAGTTACCTAACAATCCAGAATTTCAGATAATCTGCCAATTTAAAGATGTTTAAAGTACATTCGTTTTGCAAACTTTTTGCACACTTACTTCTACATGGTTTAAATTGACTGAAGTTTTTAAAATGATACTTATAAATCATAAAAAACTGTTAACCCCACCCCTCAAAAATCTAAAACTTGAAGAACATAAAACATTTATGGGGCTTCAGATAATAGCACCCCAAAATGAAGACTTTAGAAGCAAAAATTTTTCTCTGACCTCTTGTCCCTCATTCCCATTCTTTCCTGAAGCTATCCATAGAAACTAGATTCCTTCTTCCCCAAGGCAGGTCATAAAAGCCAGAACCCCTTTTTCCCCCAAAGCCAGCCATAAAACCTAAAATTATTCTGTGTAAAAACTGGCTATAAAGAAGCTACCTGATCTACCTTGTTTGACTGTAGGTCATAAGACTCCCATTCCAGTGAGGGTCCTGCTCCACACCCAGACGGAGGAATTCATGCCCAGAAAGACCAAGAATCATCTAGACAGAAAGGCCTTGCTGGGTTTCCCCACTCTGTCTATTAACACTAGATCATTCCCTTTTGTCCAATCATATTTCTACATAGTTGTCCATACTTTGTTGAATCTAAGCATAAAAATGGAAAATTTCCCCTATATCTTTGGATCTTCATTCTGAAGCCTTCCATATAGCACATTAAATAAATTTGTATGTCTTTTATTAATCAATCTGCCTCACGTCAATGATTTTTTGGTGAACTTTTGGGGGCCCAGGGGCTTTGGTCCCTAAAACATCAAAAACGAGTTTAAAAGGTAAGCAATACACTGGGAAAAAAATCTGCAACATACTTTCAGACAAAGGATCTCATATCTGTATTATATAAAGAGCTTTGACAAACCAGTAAGAAAAAGAGACATTATAGAAAAACAGTCAAAGGATAAGAATAGATAATTCCCAATAGGAGAAATAGCCAATGACCACATGAAAATATGTTCAAAATCAATAATATTCAGGGAAATGTACTAATTCATCCTTCAACAAATATTTCTTGAGGGATATTCCAGCTGATAAGTAACAATCATTAATGATGTAGTTTATTTGGTTTAGAGGACAATGATATTAAAGATAAGGCGTGTTTATTAGAGTTGTACACCGAGAAACACATACGAAAACCAGTGCCTTTTCACATGTTTACTGAACAAACACGAGGGCTAGGGATACAATGTCAAAAGAATGTAATGGGACACAGTGAGATACCACTTCACACCCACTAGGCAGATAATAAGCGTTTGGTAAGAATGTGGAGAAATTGGAACCTCATATATTGCTGGTGGGAATGTAAAAGTTGTGCAGCTACTTTGGAAAATGGTTTGGCAGTTTTTCAAAAGGTTGAACATGAGGCCGGGCAAGGTGGCTCATGCCTGTAATCCTAGCACTTTGGGAGGCCGAGGCGGGTGGATCGCTCAAGGTTAGGAGTTCGAGACCAGCCTGAGCAAGAGCGAGATCCCGTCTCTACTAAAAATAGAAAGAAATTATCTGGACAACTAAAAATATATATATAGAAAAAATTAGCCGGGCATGGTGGCGGATGCCTGTAGTCCCAGCTACTCGGGAGGCTGAGGCAGGAAGATCACTTGAGCCCAGAAATTTGAGGTTGCTGTAAGCTAGGCTGAAGCCACGGCACTCTAGCCCGGGCAAGAGAGTGAGACTCTGTCTCAAAAAAAAAAAGGTTGAACATAAAGTTACTATAATACTCAGCAATTCTACTTCTAGGTATATACCCAAGAGAAATGAAAACATATTCAAACAAAAACTTGTACGCTAATGTTCACAGCAGCAGCATTCATAATAGCCAAAAAGTAGAAAAAATCCCAAATGTCTCAACTGATGAATGGATAAACAAAATGTGATATATTAATACAATGCAATGTTATTCAGCAACATGAAGGAATGAAGTACTGATACATACTGCAACATTGATGAATTCTGAAAACATGCTAAATCAAAGAAGCCAGTCACAAAAGGCTACATATTATATGATTCCATTTATATAAAATGTCCAGAATATACAAATCTATAAACAGCTGCCTAGGGCTGAGGGATGAGGAAAATGGGGGATGACTGCTAAGGGTACAGGATTTCTCTTTGGGATGACGAAAATGTTCTAAAACTGATCGTGATTACGGTTGCACAACTCTGTAAATATATAAAACCCACTGAATTATGCACTTCAAATGAGTGAACTATATAGTGTATGACTTATATCTCAATAAAGTTGTAACCAAGAAATATAATAGGAAAGAGGAACAAAATCTTACGAAGTTTTAAAAAGTAATTTATAGATTATTAGAACCAGTTATCTAACTTCGTAATATGATAAACATCAAAAAGGAGGTTTTTAAACAGTCAGTTTTGTTCAGTTCTTGTGTCTAACATTTTTATAATAAATTGTGGTAGTAATCAACCAACAATTTAAAGAGAAAGTAACACAGTTATAGTCTCAGTAGTGGAACTTATTTAGACTGTCCACTTTATATTTTTAAGTATATACATAAAACTCATTTTAAAAGTTTAACAGTAATTAGTCTATTGGTGGATTCTATTCCCCATCAGGGGAAAAAAAACTGTAGAAAGAGAATAAGGGGAGGACAGATGTTTCCTGTATTGTACTAAAAGTTACTTCTAAATCATGAGATGTTGGACAGAGTAAATAACACGAAGTTCTGAGGTTGTGCAAAGCAGGAGCATATAAAACAAAGTCGAGTAGAATAAAAGCTCTGCAAGGGAAGACCATGCCCTCTAATTTTTAGCACAGGATCTAGCACATAGTAGGTATTCAATAAATATTGTTTGAATGAATCAGGAAATAAAGAATGGCAAGAAGGAAGTAACGGAGGGCTTCTGGTTGCTGGATAAAAAGAGTAAGAACACTAATTCCTCCCCTCAATAAGTAGGCATTGAGTACTTATTCTAAAAGTAACCTA